CGCATTTCAAAATTTTTTGAAGCAAATACTTGAAGTGATGTCAGTTAAACTACCTTCCGGATCAATGGTTCAGCGTTATATATTCAAATCTGACTATAAAATTTAATTAATTAATTTGTAAAAATTAAGAAAGTAGAATAAATTATTTTAAAGTATTATATTTATTATTTTTAAATTAATTTAATTGATCTATAAATTAATATATAATTTAATGACACATAGAAATATTTTAAAAAGATCATGTATATTTTAATAAATTAATTGTTTTATTTTCTCAATATTTCTGAATTAGTCAATTGAGTGTTTAAAATAACTTATAAGCATTTTTTAATATAATTTACATAATATGTAATAAGGATACAAAAAATTTGTCTCAATTTATGTAATGCGGTCATGGACTTCTTTATCTCTTTATACTTGTATTCACTGGTTCTTAGATCTATATTTCCTCAGTTCCATATCTAGTTGGCTTCCAGCTCCTTTCTTGTGTAAATCTCGACATGAAAACTCAATCAGAAGATGAATAGTACCCAACTAGTCTCGTTGGCCACCAACACAAGAAGAAGCTCCAGTTGGCGAACTCTCCCTTTCCCAGCATGATGAAGACGATGATTAGTGCCCCCAAAATCATCTTAAAAGCACGACTTCATAAGCTATAATGAGCAAGAGAATCTTACTTCTTCAATCAGTTTAAAAATCACAGCTTTTGGTTATAATTGAGATTGAACAAAAACTCAACCAAAGATCTCATTAAGAGACCAATCATAATTATACCTTTAAAAGCTACTTTACCAGTTCTCAGATGCTTATGCAAACAGAGCCAATATGATCTCAAAGAGAGCTTTAAATGCACAACTTTATTCAACATGATCAGAGGTTAGAAAAAAAGCATAATTTTATTAAAATACGTAAACGCCATTGCCTTGTTTTTCTAGATGGGCGACGATAACCCCTCACGATATGCGAGAGAAGAAAGTATCAAGTCTACATAAGATCCAAAACCAGTTGAGTAAAGAATTTCAAGTTGATTTTGATACTGATGACCGAATTTTGATATTTATTTAGGAAGAAAAAACAGAAAAATGCTATCTTAACTTTATAATGACCAGAACATCTGCTAAATTTGCAAAATACCATTTTGGTCACATGAGACCAAATTGGCATTATTATATCAAATAAAAAGACCAAATTACCCTTCTTTTTAAATATTGTTTTAAAAGTATCACAGCTCCACTGGCCAGCCGATTGCCGGAGCTCCGGCAACGACAGTCACCAGAGCTCCTGCGACCGGCAAACAATTGGTCACCGGAGCTCTGTCGGTCGGAAAAAAATTTTTAAAAAATTTTTACAACTTCAATATAACGATTAACAACTTTTGTAACGCTATTAACAACTTCAGAATAACGGTTAACAACAATTTTTCTGAAAAATTCAACAAGTTCCAGTGGCCGGAAATAAACTTTTTGGAAATTTTTACAACTTCAGTATAACAGTTAACAACTTTTGTAACGCTATTAACAACTTCAGTATAGCGGTTAACAACAAGTTTTTAGGAAAATTCAATAATTGGACGTCGAAGCTCCGACGGTTAGAAACAATTTTCTTGAAATTTTTTTATAACTTCAGTATAACGGTTAACAATTTTTGTAACGCTATTAACAACTTTAGTATAGTAGTTAACAACAGGTTTTCTGAGAAATTTAACAAGCTCTGGTGTCAGGAAATAAGTTTTTTGAAAATTTTTACAATTTCAGTATAATAGTTAACAACTTTTGTAACACTATTAACAATTTCAGTATAGCGGTTAACGACAGGTTTTTGGAGAAATTCAATAATTGGATGCCGGAGCTCCAGCGGTTGGAAACAATTTTCTTGAAAATTTTTACAATTTCAATGTAACGGTTAACAACCTTTGTAATGCTATTAACAACTTTAGTATAACAGTTAACAACAGGTTTTCTGAAAAATTCAACAAGTTTTGGCATCTAGAAATAATTTTTTTGAAAATTTTTACAACTTCTATATAACAGTTAACAACTTTTGTAACGTTATTAACAACTTCAGTATAGCGGTTAACAATAGGTTTTTCAGAATATTCAAAAAATGACATTTTTACAACTTCAGTAATGCCGTTAACAAATTCAAAAACTTGTTGTTAACTGTTATATCAAAGTTGTTAATAGATATACAAAAGTTATTAACCATTATACTGAAATTGTAAAAATTTTCAAAAAAAAGTAGTTCTTAAAGTTATAAAAATACCATTTTTTCGAATTTTTAAGAAAACCTGTTGTTAAATGCTATACTAAAGTTATTGATAGAGTTACAGAACTTGGTAACGATATTATTGAGTTTGTAAAAATGTTATTTTTTGAATTTTTTGAAAAACTTATTGTTAGCTGCTATACTGAAGTTGTTAATAGCATTATAAAAATTATTAATCGTTATATTGAAATTATAAAAATTTTCAAAAAAAATTGTTTCCAGTCGCCGGAGCTCTAGCGACCAATTGTTGAATTTTTCTAAAAATATGTTGTTAACCGCTATATTGAACTTGTTAATAACGTTACAAAAGTTGTTAACCGTTATACTAAAGTTATAAAAATTTTCAAAAAAATTATTTCCGGACACCAGAGCTTGTTGAATTTCTCAGAAAACTTGTTATTAGCTGCTATACTAAAATTGTTAATAGCGTTACAAAAGTTGTTAATCGTTATACTGAAGTTGTAAAAATTTTCAAGAAAATTGCTTCCAACTGCCGGAGCTCCAACTTCCAATTATTGTTATATTGAAATTATAAAAAGTTGTTAATAGCATTATAAAAATTATTAATCGTTATATTGAAATTATAAAAATTTTCAAAAAAAATTGTTTCCAGTCGCCGGAGCTCTAGCGACCAATTGTTGAATTTTTCTAAAAATATGTTGTTAACCGCTATATTGAACTTGTTAATAACGTTACAAAAGTTGTTAACCGTTATACTAAAGTTATAAAAATTTTCAAAAAAATTATTTCCGGACACCAGAGCTTGTTGAATTTCTCAGAAAACTTGTTATTAGCTGCTATACTAAAATTGTTAATAGCGTTACAAAAGTTGTTAATCGTTATACTGAAGTTGTAAAAATTTTCAAGAAAATTGCTTCCAACTGCCGGAGCTCCAACTTCCAATTATTGTTATATTGAAATTATAAAAAGTTGTTAATAGCATTATAAAAATTATTAATCGTTATATTGAAATTATAAAAATTTTCAAAAAAAATTGTTTCCAGTCGCCGGAGCTCTAGCGACCAATTGTTGAATTTTTCTAAAAATATGTTGTTAACCGCTATATTGAACTTGTTAATAACGTTACAAAAGTTGTTAACCGTTATACTAAAGTTATAAAAATTTTCAAAAAAATTATTTCCGAACACCAGAGCTTGTTGAATTTCTCAGAAAACTTGTTATTAGCTGCTATACTAAAATTGTTAATAGCGTTACAAAAGTTGTTAATCATTATACTGAAGTTGTAAAAATTTTCAAGAAAATTGCTTCCGACTGCCGGAGCTCCAACGTCCAATTATTGTTATATTGAAATTATAAAAAGTTGTTAATAGCATTATAAAAATTATTAATCGTTATATTGAAATTATAAAAATTTTCAAAAAAAATTGTTTCCAGTCGCCGGAGCTCTAGCGACCAATTGTTGAATTTTTCTAAAAATCTATTGTTAACCGCTATATTGAACTTGTTAATAACGTTACAAAAGTTGTTAACCGTTATACTAAAGTTATAAAAATTTTCAAAAAAATTATTTCCGGACACCAGAACTTGTTGAATTTCTCAGAAAACTTGTTATTAACTGCTATACTAAAATTGTTAATAGCGTTACAAAAGTTGTTAATCGTTATACTGAAGTTGTAAAAATTTTCAAAAAAATTGCTTCCGACTGCCGGAGCTCCAACGTCCAATTATTGAATTTCCTCAAAAGCTTGTTATTAACCGCTATATTGAAGTTGTTAGTAACGTTATAAAAATTGTTAACTGTTATACTGAAGTTGTAAAAATTTTTTAAAAAATTATTTCCAGACACCGGAGCTTGTTGAATTTCTTAGGAAATTTGTTGTTAATTGTTATACTAAAGTTGTTAATAGCATTACAAAAGTTATTAACCGTTATATTAAATTTGTAAAAATTTTCAAGAAAATTGTTTTCGACCGCCAGAGCTCCGGCGTCCAATTATTGAATTTTTCCAAAAACCTGTTGTTAACCGTTATACTGAAGTTATTAATAGCGTTACAAAAATTGTTAACTGTTATACTGAAATTGTAAAAATTTCCAAAAAATTTATTTCCGGCCACCGGAACTAGTTGAATTTTTTAAAAAAACCTATTGTTAACTGTTATACTGAAATTGTTAATAGCGTCACAAAAATTGTTGACAGTTATACTGAAATTATAAAAATTTTCAAAAAAAATTTTTCTGACCGACGAAGTTTCGGTGACCAATTGTCTGCCGGTTGTCGGAGCTCCGGTGACTGCCGTTACCGGAGCTTCGGTCGACTAGTGGGGCTGTGATACTTTAAAAACAATATTTAAAAGGAAGGACAATTTGATCTTTTTATTTAATATAATAATGCTAATTTAGTTTCATGTGACCAAAATAGCATTTTACAAATTTAACGGATGGTCTGGTTATTATGAAGTTAAGATAGTATTTTTCTGTGTTTTTTCCCATTATTTAGCGTCCAGCCAAAATTACTCATCTTGGGTCAGAGGAGTGACACTGTGACAGACGTGAATAAGAACAAATTAATTTTGCAGAGGTCAGAATTCAATTTTCTGACATGTTAGGTTCCCCATGCAAGGGGCAGAAATTACTTATTTCGATAAATTATAAAATAAAGGAGGCAACAAAGAATACTGTGCGTACTCGCTTGTTCAAGCTTCTGATATAGACTCAAAAGGCAAAGGGAAAAACAGATGGAGTGAGAGGCCTTTCAGCACAAAAATGGCGAGGCTGATGAGCTCAAACCACAGTGCGTCTATCACAAAAATGCTTCTCTTTGTTGTCCTCTTACAGATTTGGTGTCGCCCTGCCATGGCTTCGGCTTCAACAGTAGAGTTTCTTCCTGGCTTCCATGGATCCCTTCCTTTCCATCTTGAAACTGGGTATTTGTCTCATTTGTTCATCGATCTTTAATGATTTATCAGCTTCATTCATTAAACGAAGAAGATATTGACTTTATATTTGGTCAGGTATGTGGGAGTTGGGGAAGGAGAAGAAGTGCAAGTTTTCTATTATTTTATTAAGTCAGAGAATAATCCTCAAGAAGATCCTCTCCTTCTTTGGCAATCTGGGGGTCCTGGTTGCTCTGGCTTCGTCGGACTTGTCCATGAAATAGGTAAACCATCTTCATTCTCTTCAAGTTTAATCTTCTCTGGTGTCCTTTATTCATCTAAATAGTGCGATCATTCATATAAATTGCGTTATTGATCTGAAGTCCTTTAATTTTTTTCCCACAAAATGGTCAGTAATAATTGTTTTCCCATTTGTATGTTATATAGGTCCACTTGCATTTATAAACCAACAATACAATGGGAGCTTGCCTAGCTTAGTCTTGAGGTCTCAGTCATGGACTAAGGTTAGAATGAAGGTTATTTGATACGAAGTATTGAAAATGAGGGATAAGGATTGGAATTGGAGTTAAAAACACATGTTAAAAAGATGTTTAGTTTGAGTGATTTCTTATCATATGGGATTAAGCAATCCCATATAAATAGGATTAGGGAATACCACCTCCCCTCATGGTATTTTTCAATCTCATATATATGGGCTTGTCTAATTCCAAGTATTATACAATTACTCATACTAAATGCCTTTTTAATGTAGCTTTACACTTTCAATCTCAAACCCTATCTTTTATTTTTAATACATTGTACCAAGCGGGATCTATATGTCATGGGTTAATTCCTAGTTAACTTGCTTCTAGTTAATTTGTAGGCAACATGGATATATTTGTTGATTTTGATTTGATATTGTCTATATTTTCATGATGAGTAGATTTTATAGGGCCAATTTGGCCTCCTTTTAATTTTTTTTCCTGAAAAAAGGCTAATACTAAATAATGTGACATGGCAACTCATTAAAACAGATTTTTTTTTTCTGTTGCCCAAAAAAAAAACACTTTCTTCTTGACACAACATTGGATAAAAAATCTAAAGTTTGAATAGGCAATAGCAATGCTTATATAGTTCTTCTGTCCTTGATATAAAACTTAATTATTAAGTTGATTATAGTTTTAAATATAAGATTTATTTATGCTATTTATCAATTTTTCTAAATCATACAATTGATATTTGCTCAACCATAATCAAATAATTAGAGGAGGGGATATTAAAAAAGATGATTATGATGTTTTAGGAAAAACTTGTTATATTTCTTACAACTAATTAACTTATCTAACTTTTTTAATATAATCAAGTTAATTAAATAAGCTTTATATTAAGGACTGAAGGAGTATTATATAACAATTAATTGATTTTATGTGTGTAAATGCTCTTCCTTGATTTGCAGGTAAGTAGTATTATCTTTGTAGATTTACCTATTGGATCAGGCTTCACTTACACCAAAGCAAAAGGAGTTGTTGAGCAGAGTGATTGGACCCTAATTCATCATGCCCACCAATTCTTGAGGAAGGTACATTAATTAATTCAACCCACTTCATATGTTAATTATATCTTATATTATCATCAAACATGAACAATGACATGGTTAACTTCTTGACGTACGTTCTATGAAATTATATGAGATAAATAATCTGGAATAATGTCCAAATAATCCGTAACATCAATTAATTTTGATTTGTAGTGGCTGATCAATCATCCGGAATACATGTCACATAAAGTTTATCCAGCGGGTGACTCCTATGCTGGCATTCTTATCCCAGCCTTGTTTCAAGAAATTTCACATGGTACAATTAATACTATCCCTGATTCTTAATATAAGGTTTAGTTTGTTGAACTATAAGGACTATATCTTCATATAGCCATACATATACGTTAACATAATAACCTGATGGTTCATTACATATGCTTGCTTCAGCCAATGAAAATGGGGTTCAGCCACGGATAAATATCCAGGTTTCAAATCATAGTTCTCTCTATTTCTTCTTCTAAATTAAAGATAAGTTTATAAATTTCAAGAGTCGAAGGACATACAACTCCTATTTGGCACAAAGCATTGAAATTGGGGGGGGGGGTGAAGATTGGGATTGAGATTGAGAAAATCTATTCAAAAAGTGTTTAACATAAGAGATTACTTGTTACATAGGATTAGACAAACCCATGTTTGTGATATTGGGGATCTCCAATTCCACCTTTATAGGTTTGCTTGATCCCATATAACAGACAATTATTTATGCTAAATACTTTTTTAATAATTTTCTTAATGGCATTCCCAATTCTTATCACTCATTTTTAATATTTCGTACCAAACGGGATCATATAGTAGTCTCAAACTTGTGTTACGTACAGGGATACATACTGGGGAATCCAGTGACAACAAAGCTTGAAATAAATTATGCAATCCCCTTTGCTCACGGAATGGGACTCATCTCTGATGAACTTTACGAGGTAAATATATATCATAATGCGCAAGTTATATTTGAAGTAGGTAAATGTTCTTAAAATTTTTGTTTCTGAAAAAGACTAACATATCTGAGTTATTATTGATTCTACAAGAACAGTCATTACAGCAGAACTGTAGAGGAAATTACCAAAACATAGATCCCAGAAACTTGTTATGTCTCAGAGATTTCCAGTCATTCCAAGAGGTAAGATATGTAATTAACCAACTATTGAACTAATATTTTAAACAAAATTGGGTTAGTTTCAGTTGTTCGTTGGTTTCAGTTAACTGCAGAAGTGGATCATGCTCAGATTTTGGAACCAGCCTTTTGTGGTTATGATTTAAACTCGATGCCCCAGGGAAGTACTATTCTGAAGAGATCCCTAACCCAGAAAGTGAAGGCCAGTGACTATACCGCATCAAGATGTCGGGTAATTAATATTATTCCTAATGGTTATGCTCTTCCAGTCCTTAATATATGATCTAATTATTGAGTTGATTTTGATCTTTAATATAATATTTATTTTTCATATTTATCAGATTTTTCTAAATTACCCCTGGATACTCCCTCAACCATAATCAAGTAGAAGAAGGAAATAGAATATTAAGAAAGATAATTATAGTGTTATAGGAAAAACATGTTATATTTCTTACAATTAATTAACTTACCTAATTTTTTTAATCTAATCAAATTAGTTAAATAGGTCTTATATTAAGGACTGAAGGAGTATTCATTCGTCAGACTTACTTTGTTATTGTTATCTTCTGAATTTACTCCATTCGCTGGTAACATTGTGTGAGAAGATCAAAATTCGTTTAATTACCTAACCTGAGCCAAATAAATAATTGGCTTCTTATATAACCCGAAGCTTTAGGAATACACACACGTATATATGGTTTAAGGTTCTTAAAATACCTTGTTAATGGTTTGAGGTTCTTAAATACCTTGAAAGCATTAAGAAAAAGCACCCAGTACCTAAATGTGTTTCTTTACTCTAATATACCTGGGGGAGTTTTATTTTATAATATTTCTATCTTGAATCGTTACCTACCATAGGTTTAACTGTTCAAGGCACAGGTAAAAGCACATAATTTAACGATTAAACTTAAAAGTACATAATGGCTAGAGTATATTTGCTACGACAATAAACTTCTAAGAGATATGAGAGGAAAAAAAAAGCTTTTAGGTGCTAGATGTTTATTTTTGGATACTTTTAGGATATTTAAGCACCTTAACTCATCTATATTTATTGATGTCTGCTAATCTCTGTTATTGGTTCTACATTATTGCTGATGTTTGTCACAGAGATACGAATATTTTGAAGCTGTATATTGGGCCAATAATGATGACGTTCGCCAAGCACTCCATGTTCGAAAGGTTTGGCCGAATATATTATTATAACCTTCTAAATTCTAATATTTAACTAAAAACAAACATTTCAGACCAAAAAAAAAAAAAACCAACAACAAACAAACACACACACACACACAAGCCTGATAAACTTGTATTTTTTTTTTCCTTTGGTGTCGTTTTTATTGACTGATTGTAGTGTTGCAGGGGACTGTAGGACATTGGGAGCGTTGTCGTAATATTACAACTTACAAGTTTGATATCAATAGCAGCTTTCATTTTCACGTAAATCTCAGTGCAAAAGGCTATCGTTCTTTGATATACAGGTAATTCACATTTAATTTATGACATTCTAGCTCCTGTTTTAATTTGCACTACAAAGTAAATCTTATATTTATGACCAGAAAATAGCATATCATTTTCTTTCTTCTTCGCAAAATGTTGAGCGTCCCTATTCCATATACCTTTTGCATTCCATTTCATTTCTTCTTTCAGTTTTATTGTCTTGAAAACAGAATTTTACTTGTGTGCTTTTTTTTTTTTTTGGTTATCAACTCTATCAGTTTGTCCGTCCCAAACCGAGTCTGTGTTGGCATGTGTAGTAAAGAATTTTGTTGCTTTTCAATTATATACACACAAAAAAAAAAAGAATTACTGGCGGAATTTAGCAATGGAAATTAACAAAAAATTATCGCTAACATTTAGTGGTGAAATTACTGATAGAATGTTAGTGACAGAATGGAATTCTGTATGGCTACTATGTCACTAATTTAGAGACGAAAAAAATTTCATTTCTAATCTATCAGTAAATTTAGTGATGAAATAATTTTCTGTCACTAATAAACTGTTTTTTTTTTCCCCTCTGGTGATGACTGATTATAAAAACTTAAATATAATGGGGTGTTTATATATATACAGTGGGGATCATGACATGATAGTTTCTTTCTTATCAACACAAGCATGGATCAGATCTTTGAATTACTCCATTGTTCATGACTGGAGACCTTGGCATTTCAATAGCCAGGTTGCTGGGTATGTTGATTTCCATGTTAATTTCTCTCTAACTTTCAACACTCAAAAAACTGCTTATTTTCTTAATCTTTCAAGACACACACACGCACACATCTTTCTAGTTAATTGCTTTGCGATCAAATTATTTTTTTGCAATAGATACACGAGGACGTACTCCAATCGAATGACATTTGCAACTGTCAAGGTATGAATACGTACTTTTTTGTTTTTAATTACATACCAAAACACCATTATTGACACTGTTTTTTTTTTCTTGGAGAAAGAAAAGTGAAGGAAAAATAGTGATTTGGTGGAATTGTTATAATAATACTCCTCCGGTCCTTATTATAAGACCCAATTTGACTTTTTATTTGGTCCTAATTATAAGACCCAATCCATTTTGTTTCTTATATTTATGCATTTTTTTCCAAGATAATTCTTCTAATAATGATAGTTTTAGCCAATATACTTAAATAGTAAGGATATTTTAGGAATGACAACACTTATTTATTATAAATAACCAACTTAACTTACTTCCTTAATCTCCTCAAATAAGTCAATTGGGTCTTATAATTAGGACCGGAGGAGTAATAATCATACTAATTGCAGGGTGCAGGACATACAGTTCCAGAGTTCAAACCTGAAGAATGTCTTGCCATGTTCAAGAGATGGATAGCTAACGAGAATCTCTAGCAATACTGCTATCTTGTGATGTAGTATGTACCAAATTGACTTTTGATTCCAGATTATTGTGTTGATACTAATTTAAGAGTAGAGTTAGTACTTTTGCATAGGTACCGAAGTAATTTGACTGGAGTAAAGAAGCTATGTCTCTGTAATGCTTTGGGCCTCTGTTCCATCTTTTCTCAAAAGAATTATAATTAATCACAAGTCTCTGTTCTTGAAAAATGACATTTACGCCCCCAAGAACTTAAGATACGTTTGGTACAAAATATTGAAAATAAGAGATAATGATTAGAATTGAGGTTAAAAACATATGTTAAAAAGATACTTAGTATAAGTGATTTCTTATTATATGGGATTAGACAATCCCATATAGATAGGATTGGAAAATATTATCTCCCCTCATGGTATTTCTCAATCTCACTTATATAGGTTTGTCTAATCTTAAGTATCATACAATTATTCATACTAAACACTTTTTTAATATAGTTTTATATTTTCAATCTCAATCTCTATTCTTTATTTTTAACGCTTTGTGCCAAACGGATCTTAGTTCACTGATGCAGAAAAAGCTTTTTAATATCAATTAAAAATACCTTTTAACAATGGTTTTACAACCGATGTAGAGAATATTAACTTTCTATTGGAAAATCATTATTTCACATTGGTTGTATCACAACCGGCATAAAAGTTTGTAAAATTTTCTTAGAAAAATAATAATGATCAATCTTTTGACAACTTTGGTTGTTACAAAGGATCAAAATCAGTTGAAACATGTTCATTCAGTCAAGAGTGAACGTTCGATAGATGCATTTAAAGATGCAAGTAATGGATATCTAAAATGAAACTAATATTTGCAGGTGATCTTTCAATACAACTTCTTAACTTTCGGAGCCTAAATGCCATTTCTCGTATTTTCTCTAAGCACATCATATGCTCCCTCAGGTCTTTCAGAAATCATAGTGATGAATTCTTCAATATTTTTATCTGAACTTCCCCCTTCCTCCATTGAACTCTTGACCACGCTCATCCATTTGATGGCATTATTCTTCATCTCTTTCCCTTTTTCACTTCCCATTACTTCCTTTATGCAGTTTCTCACCGTTTCTCGTCTAAGGATCCCTTTCTCATCCACGAGAGCTCTAATTCCCACTTTCCAAACATCCACAATATACTTCAAATTCGTGGTTTGATCAGTCCATTGTGGGAATCCAATCATAGGAACTCCCGAGCTCAGAGCTTCTAAGGTAGAATTCCACCCGCAGTGGGTAACAAAGCATCCGACAGCTTCATGTGACAGTACTTTTAGTTGAGGACACCATGTCACTATCAGACCCTTATCTGCAGAAACTATTTCTCGTATGTTGTTTGGGAGCTTCACTTGTTCAGATTCCCTAACAACCCACAAGAAATAATTCTCAGTTTGTGTCAAACCCCAAGCTATTTCCTCCATTTGATCCTCACTAAGATTTGCTAAACTTCCGAAGGAGACATAAATTACTGATGCTTTAGGTTTATGATGAAGCCAGTTCATGCAAAGATCATTCTCGGGCTTGAACATGCTGATACCATAGTCCTGGTCGTCTTGGATCTTCTTGTCCAAGAACATGGACGGCACTGTTGGTCCTATTGTCTTCACTGGCCACATCCTCCTCATCAAATCAACGGCCTGGCCAAAAGCTTTCATTTATCAATCTCTATGGTTGAATTAGAAGGGCAATTACTAACAATCTCGGATACATAAGCAGGATTAAACTCGATCCCCTCTCGCCAAAAACAGAAACACAATTTTCAAAACAGAGATTTTTTTTAAGGCCACAATTGAAAACCAAGGCAGATATCAAACAAACTAAGCTAATAATTCTACCAATTAATAGCTCTACTATATATATGCATTTAAACCCATACATACCTCGGGCTCCAGTTCGTAAACAGTGTTTGCAAGCAAGCAATCAGCTTTTCCAATATTGTTAAAAGGATCAACCAGTACGTCCCAGAAGAACGGGTACATCCCATATTGCAGAAACAAGAAGGATGGCAGATCCGAAGGCTCAAGTTCTGGTAGTCCAGGAAGCAAAATCTTACTCTCCTTATTATCATCAATGGGAAGTTTCAGAATCCCTTGATGAAGATGGAAGTAAATGGTTTTAACAAAACAAGGTTGGGTAAAAAACGAAGCAGCAAGAAGGCCAAACTTCTTAGCCACATCAAGAACCCAAGGAAGGAAACTGTTATAAATAACACAATCCACAGGCAAATTACTGTCAAAGAGCTTGTGAAGAAGCTCAGATAGAGTGATTGGTCCTACTTGCCTGAAGCGTTTTTGATAAGCCTTTGACTTCATAACCTGGTGATCGGCTCCTTCGTCGTAGCCATCAGAGATGGTCTCAAGAGCTATGGAATCAGAGATGGTGGGTTCAGTAACAGAGGCTTGTTTCCAGAAAGAACGAGTGGTGACGAAAGTGACCTTCACTTTGTGGTACTCCAATCTCTTGCAGAATTGAAGCATTGGGTTGATATGGCCTTGTGCAGGGTAGCACACGAGTAGGCAGTGAGCCTTCTGTTGGTTCGACGCCATTGTTGATGCTCAAGATTTCTGCGTCCGGTTTGATTTTGGGCGTGTTTGGATTGGCGCTGGAAACGGCAAAAGTATCTTGAAAATACTGAAAATGAGATTGCAAGCTGAATTGGATAAAAAATATTGTTTGATTACCTTTTTCAACTAATTTTTAGCCTTTAATTTCATTTAGACTCAACAGAAAAAAATATAATTTTTTAAACTGTAATTTCAAACAGTAATTATTAAAAAATGAACATCTCAGATTTATCTTTATATTTTTCTCTCTTTGTCATCTTCTTTGTTCGCATAATGAGCTTTTATTCAGATCAAATGAATTTTAATTTATATTTATGTTTATCCATTATATATATTTAATTAACTATCTACAATGTATTTTCAAATTTATGTACAATGTATTTTCAAATTTTTTTTTGTAACAAATTTTTTTATTTTATAAGTTCACAAATAAACCATTTATATTTTATCATAATAATTTTATTTATTTTTTAAAATTATTATCACATTAAAAACATAAAATTTCAAACATTACTATTCAATAAGATTCATACTCTTTTCAGTCATTTTACAACTAAACTAATTTTTTTATTAATCATCCAAACAACTTTTAGCTTTTTTAACTGATTTTTTAAAAATATCTATCTAAATATATCTTAACTGATTTTTATTTTAACTTCGGTTACAAAAATTAGTTAGGTTAAAAATCAGTTGTGCCCTAATACCAATTTAAACATACCTATTGACGGTGGGTTAATTTTAGGCAATTGGATCATGTGGGAGTACAGTGCATGTGGATAAGAAAGTGCCACCTGTGGCCCTTTCAGTTTGTCAGGTTTATGGACAGAGTATCGTCATTATCATGGGCTGGCCAAAAGTTTCCTTTCTTTTTTTCAAAAGTTATCAATTGCGGAATCGTAAGGTGTTTAGATTAGTTTTTTTAAAAATAATTTTTTATCATAAAATAAATGAGTGAAAGTAGTTTTGTTTCTATTTATATGAAAATATTTTTTTATAAATGTTATTTTTAAACCAAACTAAATTTTAATATTAGTTAGCTTCTCAATTTTTTTAAAAAAAGCTACAAATATTAATTAAAATAGTTACAAACAGGAATCTTAATTTGCAGTGGAAAACACAATTCTTGTATATATTGCAATTTAATTTATATTTGAGTAGAAACTAAATTATATTTTAAAAATAATTTTGTAATGTATGAAGTAAATATATAAGAAAAATTTTATTTTAAAATAAATTTGAAAGATCTACGCGGGCACCTCTTGTTCCCAACGTTTTTCGTCTAAGAATCTCTTTTCCCTCCATGAGAGTTCAAAGTCCCCCTTTTCAAACATCCCCAATATATTTTTTATTTGTTTTTATGTGACCAATGAATAAAATATGATATCATTTTGTTAACCTAAACAACATTGCTCTGTTTTCTTACAGATGGAAGAAGATGAACGACGACGACAATAGAGAAGACCTCTCGCAAGATACGAGGAGACAACAGAGTATATATAAAAGATCCAAGGAGTTAAAATAAAATAAAGAAAACTAAATGTTATCGTTGCACTGACCACATTATTATATATAACTTCAAGTTGCTTTTAATTAATAACCAAATTTTGATATCTATTTAGTAGGTGTTTGGCAACCCTCAAAAGTACTTCTCAGAAGCAGAAGTACTTTTCTGCAAAACGAGACAAACTCCTTCACATATTTACTTCGTAAACCGTAAAAACACTTTTGAAACTATAGTTTGATTTCCATCCAAACACCCGTTTTCATTTGTTTTTTTCATCTGGCCTGTTTCATACGTTGTCCTCTTTAACTCTACCAGCTCTAGTTTTCCTTTCATAAATACATATACACACACGTACATATACCTTTAAACTGAATAACAAGACTAAACAAATAATGTTAACAACAAGAATCTCTTAGTTAAGAGATGGTAGGTAATCAAGAAGACACCAATTATCTTCTATCCTGGAAGATAACCTAGTTAGTCTATCTGCAAAGATAAACCCTTCTCATGATACAAATTGACCTACCAATCTTTTAGGTTCTGTTTGATACAAAGCATTAAAAATAAAAGGTAGAAATTATGTGTAAATAAAGTTCACTGCAACTTTATTTGTATATGTTCTCATTTTATTTGTAACAATATTTCATCTTAATATATATATATTTATATATATATGCGGGCATAATATTTATGCACGATGGTGCCAAAATTTTGGATCTTGATGGTGATGGTAATTGATACTTCCGTAGTATATATCCAGTGCTATAAATGATATATAATCCGAAAATATATACGGAAAACGACCTTATATACCTTTGTGGCAGTGGTAGGCGCATAAGGATGAAACAAATCTGAAAAGATTACGACTTCAATGAATATTGAACAATATCCTAGTTTTTTTAGGGATACTAATTAAAAACAATAATATTTTTGACAAAAAAAACATTATACTCTTTTAATTCTTAATATAAGATCTAATTATTGAGTTGATATTGGTTTTAAATGTAGGAAGTATTTCTTATATTTATCAACTTTTTCGAAATCACTCTTATTAATACTATTTCAACTATAACCAAGTAGGAGAGGGAGTGAGGATATTAAAAAAAATGATCATGATATTTTAAGAAAAACATGAAATATTTCTTATAATTAACTAACTTACTTAAATTTCTTAATCTAATCAAATTAATTAAATAGGTCATATATTAAGAACCAGAAGAATATAATGAAACATGTTAAAGGGTAAGGTCCTTTTTTTTTTACCCCCAGTTGAGAGCTTACGGTCTTGATAATGAGGAAGAAGGGAGTAATGAAATTGCCTTTGGAATGTTTATTTGAAGTCCTGACATTTTATACTAGGCAGGACTTGCTACATGGCATACAAAATGTTATGTCGACAAAGATTTAATATCAAATCTTCCTTGTCGTCTACAAATACGTTGACATCAAAAGTCACTTAGAAATCCTAGTTATGAATTCTGTAATGTTTTTATCTGAGCTTCCCCCTTCCTCCATAGAACTCGTGACCACATTCATCCATTTGATGGCATTATTCTTCATCTCTTTCCCTTTTTCACTTCCCATCACTTCCTTTATGCAATTTTTCAAGGCTTCTCGTTTAATAGTCCCTTTCTCATCCATTGGAGCTTTAAGTCCCACTTTCCAAACATCCACAATATACTTCAAATTCGTGGTCTGATCACTCCAATGTGGCACTCCAATCATAGGAACTCCCGAGCTCAGAGCTTCCAAGGTAGAATTCCACCCACAATGTGTAACAAAACATCCGACAGCTTCATGTGACAGTACTTTTAATTGAGGACACCATGTCACTATCAGACCCTTATCTGCAGAAACTATTTCTTGTATGTTCTTCGGGAGCTTGACTTGTTCAGATTCCCTAACAACCCACAAGAAATAATCCTCAGTTTGTATCAAACCCCAAGCTATTTCCTCTAATTGATCCTCACCGAGGGCTGCTAAACTTCCGAAGGAGACGTAAATTACTGATTCTTTAGGCTTATCATGAAGCCAGTTCATGCAAAGATCACTGTTGGGTTTGAACACGCTGATGCCATAGTCGTGGTCGTCATGGATTCTCTGGTCTAAGAACACGGAAGGAACTGTTGGTCCTATTGTCCTTATTGGCCACATCTTCCTCATCCAGTCTACCACCTGGCGAAAAGCTTTCCGTTTTGTCAATTTTCTATAATAGTGCCTTCAAACATTGTTGGTGGCCAAGTGGCCGAACTATACTGATGGGAAGGAGGCATGTGATAATATCAAATTTGACTGAGAAGTCCTATGAAATTCTACATTACGGACAGGCATGCAGTCACCCAATTATTTACTGTCATATAAAAAGTGGCAAATTAAAGGTGCTTAAAAATGGGACATACACACATACATGTATGTGTATATACTCCTTTTTATTTGTATTATAAGACACTCCCGCCATCTCATCAAACCCAGTAAGAGATGATCAAGTAATTAAATTTGTTTCAAAATTAAAAAAAATAAATTTATCCATATATAAAATCATGAATTACGTATTGAGAAATGAGAAGAAAATTTTTTATATCAAATCATTTAAATAGGGCCCATTTTAGAAAAATATAAATACTACCATACTTATAATAAAAACCATTAATTCTTTCCAAAAAGTGCCCCATGTGAGGCATGCAATTTTAGAAAAATGTAATTAATATCATACTCATTAGAATTAATATCATTCAACATGTTAAAATATTTTTCTAGCAGCTAGCACACAATATTCTAAAGTAATTTTTGGTATAACTATGTGCTTAAAGTATTTTTCTCAGCTGTAATAAACACCCTAAACTTGGGATAATAAGTGCATATTAGACTGATACTTTAAAGTACTAAAGCACCAAAAACAATTATTGTAGGACATTTAATATTATTGAAAAATACTTTATGGTGTTAGATAGTGCTACCGAAAAAATACTTTAGATATTGGATGCTACTTAATTTTATGTTATTTTTAATAAATATTAATAATTAAATTAATGCTTATGAACTTTCCTCTCGGCAAGAAATATGTGGATTGGGTTTGATTTTAAGACCACAATTTAAAACAACAAAGGCTGGTATCAAATAAAACTAAGTTCGCAACTTCATCCTCAGTGCCTATTCGACGTCACGACTTCCCGGCTAGGGGTGCAGCACCCAAACCAGCAAGCCATGAGTCTTTGCATATAACGTACATACCTCAGGCTCCAGTTCGTAAACAGTGTTTGGAAGCAACCAATCAGCTTTTCCAATATTGTCAAAAGTATCAACCACTAAGTCCCAAAAGATTGGATACATCCCATATTGCAGATACAGGAAAGATGGCAAATCAGGAGGCTCAAGTTCTGGTAACGCAGGAAGCAAAATCTTGGTCTCCTTTTTAATGGGAAGTTTCAGAATCCCTTGATGAAGATGGAAGTAAACACTATTAACAAAACAAGGCTGAGTCAAAAACGCAGCAGCAACAAGCCCAAACTTCTTAGCCACATCAAGAACCCACGGAAGGAAGCTGTCATAAATAACACAATCCACAGGCAAATCACTGTTAAAGAGCTTGTGAAGAAGCTCAGATAGAGTCACTGGTCCTACTTTCCAGAAGCGTTCTACGTAAATCTTTGAGTTCTTAACATCTTGATCTGCTCCTTCGTCGTAGCCATCTGAGATGGCCTCAAGAGCTATGGAATCAGAAATGGTGGCTTCAGTGATAGAGGCTTGTTTCCAGAAAGAACGAGTGGTGACGAGTGTGGCCTTCACTTTGTGGTATTCCAATCGCTTGCAGAATTGAAGCATAGGGTTGATATGGCCTTGTGAAGGATAGGATACTAGAAGGCAGTGAGCTTTCTGTTGCTTCGACGCCATCGTTGAAGCTTAAGCTGAGAATGATTTCTGCGTATGGTTTTGATTTTGAAGGTGAAAGTGGTTTTTTATAAGGGAATTATTATATGGGAGCGCATGAGGATAAGGAGGAGCGAAATATGAACCTCCCAGTGTTTCAGAGTTATCACTGTCATTTTTTTTTGGGGGGGGGGGGGGGGGATTTCAATTTCATAACCTCAAATTTTCATTAATCCAAAAGCCTCAATACATATGACTCAGTAATTTAGGTAACAGCTTGATATTAGAAGCAAAATAAAACTTGATTTCCTGTCCCAGAAAGAAACTTGATGATAACTTCTTAATAAAATATAAAAATAAAATCAAATTTGCTTTCCTCCACTTGAAAACAACTCCCTGATAAAATATAGAACCAAAATCAAGTTTCCACCCCCAAGAAGGAAGCTTACAAAATAATCAAACAAGACAACAATTTACTTTCTTCTAGAATAATATGATTTTCCATATTTTCTTTCACTGTGTTTGACGGCGCAACTTTTACCTTTTATTATTAGAACAGTTTGAAGGGATTGAAAGTTGAATAGAGTTTATTATAATGTTCAAATCCACAGTTGTCCTTAATTCAAGGTACTTTTGGCCTCCAGTTTTTGTTCTGCTTTTCATAAGTGCCTCCAGTTTTTGTTCTGCTTTTCATATATATATATATATGTATGTATGTATATTGAATTATATGTATTGAATCTTTCTCTGTTTCCTTCCTGTGCCAAACATTCCTCTTCTTGCATTTGTCTGAAAACAAAGGGAGAGATTCTGTATTAAAGTTGGATTATTGTTTACTTCATACCCATTACATTGAAATGTAACATTATAGCATCTCTCGTGCATCACATGTGAAGATATACTTGTTATCTTTTAAATATGCATTATTTCTTCTAAGGATATGATGTCACTTTTTGTTTTCATTGATGACTTTGTCACAAACGAAATTGATATAATGGACAATCAAAGTCCAACCAAGTTTTAATGCAGTATTAGATAACAGAAAATTGCAATTTTCGGTCATTACTGAACATCTCTGTTTCAGTAGAGCCCATTTGTATTGCCACTAAAAGATTTCAACAACAGAGATTCGCAACCAAATAGTTATTGAGGTGACAATTGAAGTGTGTTGGAGAGTTGTGACTACATTATTTCCTACAAATTCTAACAGACACAAAATGTTCTGTTGACAGTTTTATTCATATAACTGAAGATCATGAAGCTTACTGCTGAGAAATCCTAGCCACAAACTCTGCAATATTTTTATCAGAACTTCCTCCTTCATCAACAGAATTCTTGATTAAATTCATCCATTTGATGGCTCTATTCTTCATCTCTTTCCCTTTTTCACTTTCCATAACTTCCTTGATGCAATGTTTCACTGTTTCTCGTTTAAGAATTCCTTTTTCATCCACTGGAGCTCTAAGACCCACTTTCCAAACATCCACAATATGCTTCAAATTAGTAGTTTGGTCACTCCAGTATGGAACCCCAATCATAGGAACTCCCAAGCTAAGAGCTTCTAAAGTGGAATTCCACCCACAATGAGTAATAAAACATCCCACAGCCTCATGTGCCAGTACTTTTAGTTGGGGACACCATCTCACTATCAAACCCTTTTTTGACAAAGTTTCTAGAATGTTTCCTGGGAGCTTAGCCTCTTCAGATTCCCTAACCACCCATAAGAAATAAGAGTTGGCATCTATCAAACCCCAAGCTAGCTCCTGCATTTGCTCGTCACTGTAAGATGCTAAACTTCCGAAGGAGACATAAACAATAGATGCTTTAGGCTTATCTTTAAGCCAGTTCATGCAAAGATCATTGCTGGGTTTGAACATACTTATGCCATAGTCATTATCATTAGGGATCCTCTTGTCTAAGAACATGGATGGCACCGTTGGTCCAATTGTCCTCACTGGCCACATCTTCTTCATCCAATCAACTACCTGAAAGCTTTCAATTGTCAATTTCTGAAAACAGCATGAGTTGGGGTTCTCCTTATGATAGAACCATCCTATAAAGTGACTCGTGAGATGGGAAGACCAGGAATAAAAAAAAATTTAGCAAATAAGTGATGAGAAAATTTTTGAAGTTCAAGTTCTGCCTGAGAAGGAAAGAGGCCTGTAGAAATATTAAGAACAGAGTTCGATTCTTCAACAAAGTATAGATATTCAAGACTTTGTATGAAAGAGGATTTGTTTCAAACATAGTAAAGATACTCAAGACCAAATTTTAAAAACCAAAGCCAATAACTTGTCCAATTAACAATTCTAGGTTCAATCTATTCATAACATATACGTACCTCAGGCTCCAGTTCATAAACAGAGTTTGAAAGCACCCAATCAGCTTTTCCAATGTTGTTAAAAGGATCAACCAGCAAGTCCCAATAGTGAGGGTGCATCCCGTATTGAAGATACAGAAACGTTGGCAAATCCGAAGGTTCAAGCTCAGTTACACCAGGAAACAAAATTTTGCTCTCCGTAATGGGCAGTTTCAGAATCCCTTGATGAAGATGAAAGTATATGCAATTGACAGCACAAGTTTGAGTAAAAAACGCAGCACCAACAAGTCCAAATTTCTTGGCCACATCGACAGCCCAGTGCAAGAAACTGTCATAAATAACACAATCAACAGGACAGCCTTTTCCAGAAAGCTTCTCAATTAGCTCAGATAGAGATTGAAATCCCACTTGCCAGAAGCGTTGAAGATAAATCTTTGAATTTTTACGTGCTTCTTCTTCCACTCCTTCATCATAACCATCCGATATGGTTTCAATAGAAATATTGGAATCAGAAGGGAGTTCAGTGGCAACTGTTCTCCAAAAAGAACGAGTGGTAACAAGCGTGGCCTTCACTTTATGGAACTCCAAACGCTTACAGAATTGAAGCATTGGGTTGATATGGCCTTGTGCAGGATAGGCCACTAGAAGACAGTGAGCTTTCCATTGATCCGCCATTGATGGATGGATGGATGGTTAAAGTTCTCTGTATGGGGGTCGAATTTGAAGACGATAAGAATGATATCAGTCAATTATTGGTGAAACCTTATTGGTTTGGTTAGGTTGCGCAATTTGCCCGTGGCAATTTAATAATGTGCTGACAAGTCCGTCCATGGCATTGGTTTTCAAGGAGCATTTCAGTTTGGTTTTATCTTATGAGATAAGATTGTGGAAAAGTATGGCCACGCATGATTTGACCCTGTAATGTTTCATGATCACCCTGTAACTACTCAAAATAAAAGGAACAATAGAGAATAAAACTGCTATATATATATATATTTTAATCATTAGCTGTAGGCTACAATCTAAAAGTTCAACCACAGAAGGAGATAGACAGCAGAAAGGAAAATACAGAGGAAAAGGGAAGAATGGGTTTTATCTTATGAGATAAGATTGTGGAAAAGTATGGCCACGCATGATTTGACCCTGTAATGTTTCATGATCACCCTGTAACTACTCAAAATAAAAGGAACAATAGAGAATAAAACTGCTATATATATATATATATATATATTTTAATCATTAGCTGTAGGCTACAATCTAAAAGTTCAACCACAGAAGGAGATAGACAGCAGAAAGGAAAATACAGAGGAAAAGGGAAGAATGGGTACAGAGAGAACATTAAATAACAAATTCAACACCTCTTAAACCCTAATGTTTAACTTTATACCTCATAAAAACTGTTCAAGCCTAGACTGAAAAATAAAGCACGTTCATGGCATCATCCCCTCCCCTTCAAAATTGACCTTTTCCGCAAGGTCAAAGAACTGTGTTTGCATGTCAACAAGATATTCCCAAGTAGAAGACTTGACAGTCTTGAACCCATATTTCCTTGGCAAGAAGAATGTGTGGAACCCAATATGGAACACATTTATGGTTCTAAGATATTCGTCCAATCCTAAGCGTAAGACTTATTTTGTAGTATAAATCACACTGTAAAATGAGTCTTATATTTAGGATTGGGGTTTTTATCCACTATGAGCCAAAACAGGAATAATCATGGGTGAGGATTCAAACCATTCCCCAAAAACAACAAAATTGTACGAGACCCAAGAAACAGGGTTGGAAATGCTTGAGTTAACTCCAAAAGTTACAATAGCAACCATAGTCAAAGTTACGTAAATAAGTTAGCTTGAAAAGTCATTTTGAACGTCCCACAAGAAATAAAAAAATCGTGGCACGCCATTTAAAGGGGAGTGAGGTTTTCCATATGTGGGGTAGCTTATCATCATAATGACTACACAACACATAAGCTCCATTGAACTTTTAACAAAAGCTAAGCAGGAAAACTAGCCAGTGAAATAAATGGAGCCATTATAGAGTGTCTAGATTAGCTTTTTGAAAGTGATCTTATAAGATACCAAATAAATATTTGTTTTGACATTCAATCTTGAATCTTGGTCATGTGTGGCCCAGTCCATTTCATATGGGCAATGCAATTTCTAACAACCCAACACATTTAACTTTTTGACACATCAAATGAGTGAAACCACATTCTTCCCTTGGCCCATGGTTGAAATCTTTAGGAAGGTAGATGTCCAGAGATCAATTTTATACCACGTTCAAACTTCTGGTGGCCCAATTTACGAAGCTTCTAGCCCATTGTTTTTACTTCCTATAAAAATGGTCAGTGACTTTTCATTTTCAGTTTATTAGACTTTTGCATCTCCTTTTTCCTTCCTATAAATTATGCTCTTTCCGTCTTCTTCTTCTTCTTTTTTCACCAAAAACAATTACTATTTTCACTTCGTCCATTTATTAAAAAAACGCTTTTTTTAATATAAGTTTGTCTTTGGTCTCTGGCCCATACTAGAAAATTAAAGCATGTTCATGACATAATCTGATAATCCTTAAATAATACACGATAGTTTACAAAACTTAATAAAACATTGTGACTTATTGTAAAAATGGTCATTGACTTTTTCATTTTCAGTTTATTAGACTTTTGCATCTCCTTTTTCCTTCCTATAAATTATGCTCTTTCCGTCTTCTTCTTTTTTTTTCACCAAAAACAATTACTATTTTTACTTCGTCCATTTATTAAAAAAAATTGCAAAATGTCTTCAATTTTTTTCACCAGTTTCTTATTTTACCTCTATTAGTTTAATATTTGATATATTTACTACCTTATTTTTAGAAGCACTATTTATTCATTTTCTTATTCTCTCTTTTATTTTCCCTTCCATAATTTTATATATTTATTATCTTCAACTAATTTTAACTAATTTTTTAATCATATAATTTGGCCAAATGTTTTTCATGACAAGCGAGGGAGGGTACAACGAAAAAAATCTTTTTTCTTCTCTAGATTAACTTAAAAAAAAAAAAGAATTGGAATTGTAACCGGATACGTTTGGTGTTTGTGAGAACCCCTTGAATCACTACATTACTTGATTTAAAGGGTTCTCGACTGTTTGGTTTATGCGAAGTTATATCAATGAAAGCAAAAGGATAATTTCTAAAAGTTGTAGAAACTTTAACAGAAAAAATATTGCTACATTAAAAAAAAATTAAAGTACAATTTTAACAACAAAGTTTATCTTAAGGGGCACTGGGAACCATAATATTTATTTGGGTGCAAAAATATACATGAAGTTGTCAAAATGGGACATTTGGTACCAGGCCGTTAATGTCTATTAATTTACCGTCAGAGGGGCTCAGGAAGTCAATTTTGAGGTGCATTTTTAACAATAAAGTTTATATCAAGGGACACAAGGCACCATGAAGTTTTTTTGGATGCAAAACTATACATGAACTTTCTAAAAGGAAAAAAATAACAAAATTCTTCAACTCCCATAAACATTAATTAATTTTATTCTTTTGGGTCCCACCAAATTCTATATTTTCTCTCCATTAATTTTTACTTCCAAGTCAATCTATCTTTTCTCATTATAGTCATATACTCTCTTTGTCATGTCGTTTTCTCAGCCTCCAAGGCCTTTATATGTATTTATACAAAACAATGCCTTTCTCTTCTAGGATATGAGGTTTATTGCTTGCACCTAAGTACTACCTCCAGTTCTTAATATAAGACGCGATAGACTAATTTGAGGAAATTAAAAAATTAAAAAAATTAAATTTAAAGTATTTTATTTATCATTCTTTTCCAAATTAATTTGTTTCGCTTATAAACTAATATATATCAAACGATTTATATAAATATTTTAGAAATATCATGTACTATATGCTATATTTAAGTAATCGTTTCATTTCTTTAATTTTTTTAAATTTGTCCATTATACTAAGGAGGAGAGGAAGTAGGAATGAGTAAAGAGAAAAAGTGATATTGAGTAAGACCCAAAAAAAATAAAATTAACGGACGTTGGAGAATTTTGTTATCTTTTTTCTTTATACAAAGATCATGTATATTTTTGCACATAAGCAAATTCTATAGTGCCTAGTGCTCCTTGATATAAACTTTATTATGAAAAATGCACATTAAAACTGACTTCATAGATCCCTCTAACGGTAAACTAATGAACAGTAACAAGGTGGTGCCAGATGTCTCCTTTTAATAATTTTATATATATTTTTACATCTAAATAAACTTTATGATGCATTGGTGCCTAATGTCTCCAGGATAAATTTTATTGTTAAAATTATACCTTAACCCTTAACAAAATTTATTGAAACCGAAGAGACTCAGAAGTCAGAACCAGAGGAAAACACCTGAAACCTAGTACCTATGGGCAAGATGAAGAGACTCTGATCTTCTCCAGCAAAAGGTAAGGGGAAAGCTTGTCTCTCTAGAAGCACACTCTCTCTCTGGAGGAACTCCTTCAGATCGGTTCCCTTGGAATCGACCCTAAACTTTTTCTTCCATTCAAAGGCAAGACGAAACGATGACCTCTCTGCAACAATCTGAACCAATAATAATCTGCCATACAGGATTCACTATTACTCTGGTCAAAAGTTCAGCTCCAAAATAAGGGGAAAATAACATCTCGGGAGCTTTCTGGAAAAGCAATAATAATCCTGTAATAATATGAGTTAATTGTACTTACTTGTAATATTTATATGAGTTAATTGCACAGAAGCAGAATTCAAAATCATATGAGTTAATTGTACTTGCTTGTAAAATTTATAGCCGCTAAGACGATACAATAATAATAATCCTGTAATAATGTTGATGGGTGTGAGAGTTGGTAGAATCATAACATTCTAAACCCCATATTCTGAGAAGGGTAGAGAGTAACTAATTTAAGTAAATTAAAAAAATTTGTTAAGTTAGTTATTTATAATAAAGAAGTGTCATCTTTTCTAGAATACCCTTACTAATCATATGTATTAGTTATAACTACCAATTGATGGAATCATTAACATGTAAAACTACTACAAGAACTACATTTAAAATAAATAAATAAATATGAGAGATAAAGTGGATAAGGATCTTGTATTTAGGACCAAATGAGAAGTTAAACTAACTTTTATATTAAAAACTGAATGTAGTAATCACTAATTTGGGGATATTAAGCAAATTATTTAAACTGATTATTTGTAACAAATCTGCATTGACTTTCTTAAACCACCATATTTAATCAAGTGCATTGGAATTACCACTTAAGGGGAACTCCTTACAAATTAATGGAGATATTTTGGAGAAAAATTTAAAAATTTAGGAGACAAAATATATTAAAATCTTATATTTAGAAACAAATTCTACCCCTACCTGGCTCTTTTAATTTATTAAAGAGGTGTTTGGCTATTGCTAAAAGCACTTCCTAAAAGTATTTTTTCGTAAAATGAGACAAACTCCTCTACGTATCTGTTTCGTAAACCGTAAAAGTACTTTTGAAACAGTATTTTAGTTTTTATCCAAATACCTCCTACGTATTGGAGGTAGTAGTTACTTAAGCATATTTTGTATATATCGTTGCAATCATTGGATATATTACAAGGATAAATTGTAGTATATTCTCGTTGTTAGTCACTAACAAAACAAAAGGGAGGGGACAATGTACTAGCCTTGTTAATTTGATCCCATGATGATTATTAGAAGAGGGACTTACTTTAAGCTAACAGATTGAATCAAGTTTAAGTTTAATTTTTCTCTCCTAGCTAACAGCATATAAGTAAGCACAAAAAAGTGAACTTTGGATTAATTTGGGTAGACAAAGAAGCATAAAACAAGAGACAATTAAACTTTAATCCGTAGTTAACTGACATATGCAATGTACTACTGTTGTTGTCTCACACCTCTCTGCAGCCAGCTATAGCAGATCAGATTATTGACAAGCAGAGAGGACAATACGATTTGTAACACGAGAAGATTCATCATCAGTTTTATCCATTTCCATAACTTTTTTATGACTCTCCACAAACTCTCGAATCTGTTTCTGAGAACTTCCACCTTCATCAATGGCTTCTGAAGCTGAAACCTTCCAAGGAATGGCATTTCTCTTCATTTCTTTCCCTATCTCACTTTCCATCACTTCCTTAATACAATTCTTCAATGTCTCAGGTTTCACAATCCCATCTTCACCAGCCTCAGCTCTCATTCCCATCTTCCAAACATCCCTAACATTCTTTGCATTTAAGCTTTGATCAGTCCACTGAGGCACAGCCACCATTGGAACTCCTGCACACAAAGCTTCCAACGTTGAGTTCCAACCAGAATGAGTCAGAAAACAGCCTACAGATTCATGAGAAAGCACTTTCAATTGAGGACACCAGGAAACCACTAGGCCTTTCTCTGATCTCTTCTCGAAGTCTTTTGGGAGTTTGGATTCTTCGTATTCTCTCACAACCCACAGGAAGAAGTAATCACAGTGCTTTAAACCCCAAGCTAGTTCCTGCATTTGATTCTCTTTGATGTTAGACATACTTCCAAACGAGACGTATACCACCGAGCCTTTGGGCTTATCGTCCAGCCATTTCAAGCAGCAATCTTCATTCTTGCAGAGATTGAAACCATAGTCTTCATCTTCCTTCAGCCTTTTGTCTGGCAACATAGATGGCACTGTTGGCCCCACCGCTCTCAACTTCGGCCAAATTGTTTTCAGCCAATCAGCCACCTAAAAGTCACATATTTACACATCTGTCGCAATCAATGGAGATATATATATATATATATAGAGAGAGAGAGAGAGAGAGGCAATGGATTAGTTGGGTTGTTCGTTAATTAATGGGATGACTTATGTTAAGGACAAAAGGATACAAGTACTCTCCACATGAAATATAAATGCAGTATTAATTAAATGATGCATTAATATAGATATACCAAGATGTGCAAACGTAATTTGTCTCTCTGCCATCTAATTATATAATTTACTTCATTATTTTGTGCCAACTATATAATTTACTTCATTATTTAGTGGCGACTTCAATCTGATAATTCGTTACGTAGTGGCAATCTATGGACACATTAAAGGAAAAGATTATAAGCATGTGAGCGCAATTATTGGCTGTGAAGAAGTGGCTCTTTTGTTAAACAGTTATATTGCACGTGCCCCATAATATTTTTCTATGGCCATTATTGGCATTCGAAAACATATTTAACAATATTTCGATTCTAAATTAACTTTTACATTCAGTTGTGATCTCAAAATAATCATTATTTCGGTCCTAAATGTAAAACTTATTTTATAGTATAAATTACACTATAAAATAGATCTTATATTTAAAATCAAAAGAACATTTCATACTTTTATCTAAAATATACTTCTTTATTTGACCCCCCAAAAATGTGGAAAACACATACGGCGTAGAATAAAAATGAGGTAAATACTCTTAAATTACTAAATTACAAAATAGGCTAATAAATTATACAAAACCCTCCCTACTTTTATATCATATGTGAATAATCTCTTTACCCTTCGAAACTTTACAATAAACCACACTGAATTTTTACATTTATACAAATAATTCTCATAGTATTAGTTTTGTTCATTATTCATTTGTAAATAGTTTAAACTTTATGGAATTTAAATGTAGTTAACCCAAAGCTTGAAAAGTTATATACTACCTCTGATCCTTAATATAAGACATCGTTTGATTTTTATTTTGATCCTTACTAAAAAAACCCAATCCATTTTGGAAAAGATAATACCTATTTATTATAAATAACTAACTTAACTTATTTCCTCAATCTTTTCAAATCAGTCAATTAACTCTTTTATTTATGACCGGAGTTAATACATATATAAATAGAGGGGTATAAAATTGGTAATTTGAAGTTATCTGTAAAGGTTTATGGGGATGTATTATTAAGTTTTAAATATTATATTAAGAAGGTTACCTGTACATGGTTCTAAATTCATGGAGGCTTAACGTAGTATAATTTAGCCTCCAAAAGATAAATGATTACAATCTCATTTGCAAACAAGCATATATAAATGAGTCAATTTAGCAGGCAAGACAAGGTAAATCAATGCGCGGAATGAGATCAAAGAATGGAGTAGTTCCAGAAGTTACAGGGAAAATAAAAAAAAATAAAAAAAGAGAGAGAGAAAGAAAGAAAGGAAAAATAAAAATAAAAAACTGAAGTAGCAGAATGCTGACCTCTTTTTCCAGCTCATAAAATGTGTTGCAAAGGATCCAATCAACCTTGTCAATGTTAGAAAACTGGGCCAAAAGAACATCAAACAAGTCTGGATGGGTTTGGTGAGCAAACACAAGAGAAGACAAATCCTTAGGCTCCAACAATGGCATCCCAGGAAGCTGAATCTCCATCTCCATCTTCATAATATCCAGTTTCTTCCTCTGCAAATGATAATACACACTACTGATAGAAAGAGACTGAGTCAGAAACGAAGCACTGCTCAACCCAAACTTCTTGGCCACCCCATGAACCCAAGGCATGAACGAGTCATAAATAATACAATCTGCATTATTTCCAGAACTAGCAAGCTTCTCAATAAGCTCACCAAGAGTCTCTGAGCCAACCTTCTCAAACATATCAAAGTATCCCTTGAAGCTATCTGCTTCAGCAACTCCACCTTTGTCGAATCCGTCAGAAACAGTATCAATGGCTATGGAAGAAGGAAGTTTCTGTAATGTGTTGTTGAAGCAGAAACGAGTGGCCACTAGAGTCACTTTGGCTCCTTCTTGCTTCAAACGCTTGCAGAACTGAAGCATAGGGTTTATGTGACCTTGAACTGGACATGGCAGCACCAGAAAATGAGGTTGCTCCGTATTGGCGGTGGTGCCGTCACTCCACATTCTTTTTCTTTATTCTCTTCTTCTGATATATTAATTGTTTCTTGTGAGTGTCCCTTGGAGCATCCCACCACAAGATTTTATAGAAGAGAAAATGGCAGGAAGCGATCTCTCTGTCGTAGATAACGACAGTAGCAAGTTAATTGAACAGTGATCATGTGACGTGGAATCATATAATTAAACCTAACCTAATTATATACTATCAAATCTTTAATATAAGACTCGGTTGATAAATTTGAAGAGATTAAGAAAATTATTAAATTTATGTGAATTATTATATTATATATCAATTTATAAGTAACACAAATTAACTTAAAAGATTATGAATATAAAAAGTTTAAAGTAATTTGGTAACTTTTTCAGTTTTTCCAAATCAATTAATTGAGTCTTATATTAAAAATTAGAAATAGTATTACCTGAAGGGAGTACTGCGAGGTCCACGATGAACTGAAAATAAACACATAAAAGTAAAGGAAGCGAGGAACCTCAGAACAATCACGAGGCAATAACGCATGTTATTTTCATGGATGTCATTTTCATGAAAATTTTTTTACGTGTTTGAGATGATTAATTAAATACTGAAGGGAGTAGCAGAATTTGAGGATGAGATTAGGTGAAATAAGAAATTAAGAAGGAAGTTTCATATACATAGAAGTATGAAAATATTTTAATACAATGAAACTTTAACGAGGTCTTTAATTGTTGCCTCCGTGGGATGCGAGGGTATATAGTTTAACCATAGAACATGAATCACGATGAGCAAGGAGGACAAAGGAGAGACTGAGAGAGAAATGATCAAAAGCAGCACTTTAGCCATTGAGAAATCAGAGGGGAAGGTCGAAAGAGGAAAGAAAGCGGGGGACCTATGTGGGGCCTACAAATCTCTGTGTCTTCAGTTCTCTCTCCACGTGGACTATATGAGTCTTCTGGGAAAAATCTAGATCCGTAACTTTTTATCTACTCAAGGTTTTTTGGAATTGATTGAGTTATAAGTAACTTTTTAAACGTAATTTACGGAATATGAGGTAAGGACATGAGAAGAGTTATCTTGACTTATATGAACTTGTTTAAAAGTTCGTTTTGATCGGGACTTTTATTACCGTGTCCTTATAGACTTTTGTCACCTGATTAATTATATGGCAACTAACTCTTGTTATTGACAATTTTAACTTATTTTTAAGTTTTAATTCTGCTTATTGTTGTTTGTTCTGATTTACTTAAAACATTTTTTTACTTTATTTTTTTAATTAGAGAAACTTTGTACGCTGGCCTGCATTTGATATTAATTACTTATTGGAATTCAAATAATGATAGGACTATTTTTAATCATGGGCAGTTAGCAATACGTCATTTAATTTTTTTATATTTTTCCAGATGTTTTAAGATCATGGGATATTAAGATAATGAGTGGTTACATTATAATTAATTAATTAAGAGATATGGGAATTAACAAGTAAATATCATAAGGTCATATTTTTTATCTTCGATGAAATATTTTGCTGAAGTGAACTTAACATTGTTAAACTTGCTACTACCACTAGTGGCAAATATAAGAATCAGTTGGGAATTCAATTTGATTATAGATATAAAACCTTAATTCACTTTATCTTTCATATTTATTTATTTTTAAGTAATTCCTAACTATTACTAGGAAAGACAATATCTATTTATTATAAATAATTAACTTAATTAATTTTATTAATATTTGGAGGTGATTAACAAAAATGTTAACTTGAAACTATTTCTGTTAGGAAGAATTAGAACCAAGAACCTGTAGAGAAAAATATTTAGTTAAAAAGATCCTAAAAATTAGAAATATTTTAAAGGACCATATAGTAAAATATACTTTTAGAAAGGCTAAATCATCCATAATTAATCTGCCTATATTCTCTCGTTTCCATTCAACAATGCCTCCTTAAAGGTATGATATTGATGATGGCAAAGGTTAAAAATCTCATCCTTTCAACTGTTCAAATACAAATTGAGGATCTCTTTCAAAAGACAAAAATATATCTCCAACATCTGACTTATAAAATACTTGATATCCAAATAAATAATAATCCACAAAACCTCTTTCTAGCTGATACACTGTTCAGAGGGAAATGAGAAGTATAATTCAATTCCAGTATTATTCTATTAGAGTTTTCACTTGAGTTGAGGGATCCAAATTAAATTATCAAATGCACAAATGCTATCTGATGATCAAAAAGCCCTACCTATTCCAACGTTAGAAGGTGAAGATTCATCTCGAGATTTGGCAAGGAAGCGAATTTGGCATTGATGCTGAGCTTGAATAGCTTGTCAGTGGTGGAATCGAGTGTAGAAGCCATTGAATGAGCACACGAGCGGAAGAATCACAGAGGGAACGAAGGAAGTGGACAAGGGTAACGTGCTATTTAAAAATCTATATTTTAACATTTAGTCCTTTTAAATAATTCTAATTTTTATGATCCTTTTGACTAAATATTTTTCTCTACAAGTCTTCTGTTCTAATTTTCCCTTTCTCTTGTGTTGTTTGGGAGCTTGTCTTGTTCAGATTCTCTAACAGCCCACAGGAACCCACGAAAGAAGAGATAATGAAAGTATGGGGGCCTGGATTGATATTGTCCCCATATTATTTATCACTTGAGAATAGTGAGATTTAATTTGAATTTCATCATTTATATAATATTAATTAAATATCATTTTTCTTATGTGATTGAAGTTCATCAATATCTAGCTAGGCTTCAAGAACAGATGATGTTGCTAGAGAGGCTCATTGGAAATCCACTTGCTGAACATGGCAAGGTACTCCTCAGGTTTGAATTCCGGGGCTGTATGTCCTGCGCCCTGGACGTAAATTCATCAAAAACATAATAATTAAATAGAATAGTTCCATTATAAAAGAGGAAAATTAAACAGAATAATTCCCAACCCATAGCATAGACACATCTTTTACTTTTTTCTTTTGCCCTTATCACATTAAGCTAGTTTCAATCAGCCATCTTTTAGTCCCTCTCTCTCTAGTTTCAAACAGAATAATTCCCACCCCATTTTTTGAATCTCGATAACAATGAGTATTTTGATGAAATAATTACATTTTACCTTGACAGCTGCAAATGTCATTTGATTTGAACAAGTCCTTGTATACCTATTAATCCAAAGGAACATTTCCAGTAAGTATAATTGGAATAATAGATCATTCATAAAATAAATTAAGCATTAATTAATTAATTATACAATATATAACACAAGGCCTACCCAGCAACTTGGCCACTGACATACCAAGGCCTCCAGTCATCAACAATGGAGTAGTTCAGAGATCTGATCCATGCTTGTGTTGATAGGAAAGGACATACCATGTCATGATCACCACTGCAAAGAGCAAACTTTTATTAAGTTGCCAGAGCAACATTATCAACAAAATTCAGAACTACTTTGCCGGGAAATTTGGGGGAAAATCCCAAATTGAAAATTTTATTGGTGAGGAGAATTTGAAGTTCTATACATAGAAAATACAGTACTTTGCAATTTTTGTATACATACAGTGCCAATACAGATTTAGCAAGGTCCTCCTCATCAATAAAATTTTTAATGGGAGACTTTTTCCCCATTTTCCCCCACTTTATTTGACTTTTATTCATTTGATATTCTTATTCCTTCAAAAGGCAAAAGGGTTTGAGGTTTTAGAAGAGAACAGGTTAGGCAGGAATCTAACTGAATACCTAGGATTGCCCAACAGTTGAGCCGAGGTAAGTGTCGCTAATTTATTTATTTAGAACAATAATAGCAACCAATGGATGATAAAATATTAACCTGTAAATCAATGAGCGGTAGCCTTTTGTACTGAGATTTACATGATAATAAAAACTGCTATCAATCTCATGCTTAAAAGGTATGTCCCCATTGCAAAGCGTCCAATTTCTTGCAGTTCCCTGCTTCACATGTAATAAGTCAAATGAAGACAAAACAAGAGACTAATGCACCATAAAACACCTAAATCATCTGTAAATTAAATGGGATGGACAAAATAAAAAGAAGCATCTCCATAAACCAACTTATTCAGGATAATTAATTAATCAGCATTCACAGCCAAGACTTGGGCCACTGAAGTTGGAGGTGAAGCCATTTATTTATTTTTTTTTTGGGAGATTTAGTCTTTAATTACAGCAATTTTACTTAACAAGCTAATTGGTTGCTTAATTGAATTGATGATGTTGTAGAATAACTATGGTTGCATCTATGTGTCATCTAGACTAGGAATTTATATAGTAATTCATTCGAATAATTAACTGTATAGTTTGAGAATACCGGAAGCATATGTGGAGATGGCTCTCCGAACATTGCAAGACAATGCTTTTTATGTGAAGCTGTCCAAGAGTGCATTTTCTTAGCATCAAGTTGAATATGTTCATGCAGCCCAAAAATCAAAAAAGAAGAATGAATCAATGATTGATCGGCCCATGCCTAGAAATATTAAACAATGGAGGGTTCTGTAGACTTAAACAGGCTAATAGAAAAAATCATTAAAATTAGGTGTTGGGCCTTCTGTATTGCATGGAACCCAAACTAGTTGGACCCTACACTGTTCATGGGTCCAAACGTACAATGCAGCTTTCACTAACGTTTATATCCATAGACTGACTGATACATCGATGATTTATGCTCAATGCCTAAGCCTTTTGAACTAGCCACAAAGAACTTCAGACGGAATGACAAGGTTTAAACGAAATCAGAAATTTTGAAGGTGAAAGTTACACTTATATTTTGCAATAAAAAAATTTCAAGAGAGATTGTTGTGGAAATTGATTCTTCTTGCATGAAGAAATAAGCCACCCTAACTCCAGATCACCCACTCAACCTATAGGCAGCATGTTTAGGAAGCTCGATAAGAAATTAATGATTGTTTCCACCAATGTAAGATGGCTTTAAGCTATCACCCAAGAAATTTTGAAGTGAAGGCACTGCTGGGCAAAAATTTGCTGATGTCGGTTCTCAAAGAATCTTTTGGCAATAAAACAAAA